GATAATACCAACTTGGGCCAGTGAAGCGACGTCCTCCACAACTAGACTGAAGAACAAAAAGGACAGCAACTTGTCTGTTCCCTTTCCCAGATTCCCCAACACTGTTCCCCCTCCCCCAATTCCCCAATAAAATCTTTAAAAAAAAAAAAAGAAACTTTTGTGCATCAAAGGACACTATCAACAGAGTGAAAAAAGCAACCCATAGAACGGGAGAAAATATTTGCAAATCATCTGAAAAGGGATTAATGTACAAACTATATAAAGAACTCCTACAACTCAACAACTAATGACTGAATTAAAGAAGGAGCAAAGAATCTAAATAGACATTTCTCCAAAAAAGAGAAACACATAGCCAAAAAGCTCATGAATGGATGCTTCACATCACTAATCATTCGAGAAACGCAAATCAAAACCACAATGAGGAATCACTACATATCCATTACGATGGCTACTATCAAAAAAATCAGAAAACAGCAAGGGTTAGCGAGGATGTGGAGAAATTGGAGCCCTCATGCACTGTTGGTGTGACTGTAAAATGGTGCAGCTGCTGTGTAATACAACATGGCGGTTCCTCAAAAAATTGAAAATAGAATTGCCATAGATAGAATCCCGCAATTTAACGTCTGGGCATGTACCCAAAGAACTAAAAGCAGGAACTCAAACAGGTATTTGCACACCCACATTCATTGCAGCATTATTCACAGTAGCTAAAGAGTGGAAGCAAACCAAGTGTCCATCAATAGACGGGATAAACAAAATGTGGTCTATCCAGGGCCGGCCGAGTGGCGCAATGGTTAAGAACTCGCTTGGGATGCCAGAGGGCCCCGGTTCGGATCCCACATATGAGGGCCAGTAACACTGCCCTCCACAGCTAAGATGCTGAACAACTCAGCTCAACCTGGAGCTGGGCTGCCTATGAGTCGCCGGCGACGGCATGGGCTGCAGTCCCTGTGGCANCCCCCGGGAAGCACAAGACCCTGCTTTGCTGAGCCCCCCTCCCCGGGTCCCATGACCTCCGCCCTTGACTCACAGAGCGTGCCCACCCAGGTTCTTAAAGGTCAGGGTCGTCCCGCCGCCTGGACCCCTCGGCCGCCTCCCGTTTCTAACTACTGCCGCTTTCTCTTCTACGGACTCCCTAGTTACGGTTGCCACCAAAGCCCGTCCCCTTGGTAACCGCTGCCGCCGCAGGCGACGAGCCGTAAAGTGAAAAGGCTGGACGGAAGTCATGCGCCCAGAGAGCAGTCGCAAGCGGCCCGGCGCGCCCCCTGCTGGTCCGCAGGGGAGAGGGCCGCCATGACTCTGGCGGTCAAATTGGCTTTCCTGACCTCACCTTTCTCTTTCCTCCCACCCGCTTTAAATCATGGCGCCATTCCCTGAGAACCTGCAGTGGCCAATACGGGCAATTTTGACTTTCTAAAGGCTTAACAAGATTCAGGGAAAAAGCATGAACTGTTTTGAGTACATTCTCTTTGCCAAAAGCACACTAAATTTCCTGGTCTCATAGATGCTGCACACATCGTGTCTTCCACACCTTCTCACCGGGGCCCTACGTGTTGTGCAGCAAATTTCAGCTAGCTGGGATGAAGTAGTATGTGTTGTAGCTTACATTATCTTGCTGCACTTATCACAAAACGTTTCTGCAAAACCAGTTTGGCTATTAGGATCCTTCTATCTGAAACTGACCCTCCCCTAGATCCTCGCAGAAGAGGGCAGACCTGGCCACCACGTGGTTTCTAAAGGGAGACCTGCAGGACACCAGCGAAAGGCACTGACACACAAGATGGCTGCTATCGTTTTAGGAGAACATGAATGATTCTCCCTGACTCCCACGCGCCAGTGCTAACATGCATACATCTCAAGAAAAAAAAAAGGGGGGGGGGATAAACTGAATGGGACAAGCTGTGTTTATTACAATCTAGGTCTTATAAAAAGAGATCGGAAAACACTTGGAATTAGAACACAATTTAAACAGCAAACACTGGAAAACACAACATGGCTGTGGCTACAAGGGGGGCATACATGTGGATATATGACAGTCTGGGGAAGACACTCAACAGAAAGGCTTTCCAGATGAGCATGAGAAGCCATGGCTGGAAGTGCACCCCAATACCGACTCTTCAGGACAAGCTAGTATGTGTAGTCAACCCAAGCAAAGCCAGTCCGGAGGAACACAGCAAGGCACACTTCCACAGAATGTGCCAGATCTGTGAAAGAAGAGTGGTCTGCACAAACTTTACAAAATAGTGCTGATTTGAGGGCCTGACAAGGAGGTTCAATTACAAAAAAAGTCAAATGAGAAGCTAATTTGTAGACTTTTTAATTCTAGAAGTGAAGGGAGCTTGCTGCCTTCTGGCGGGTTATGGAGAGAAAGCTGACACCTCGCTGGGCTGCCTGGGGAGCCTCCTGGTTTCCCTGTTTCTAAAGGGCATCATTCTGGCCCTGGAGGACTAACTGCTGAGATTGCAATTTCTGTATCCAGAGCAGCAGAGTTGCAGAGCAAATGATGATGGGGCAGCCAGAGTGTCTGGAAACCTCATTCACGAAAGGATGATGTTCCTGAAATGCTGTTGGGTCAAAATTGACTTTGGCACAATTGTTGGTTTATTCTTCCCAACTTTCTATAAGGATGTTCTACTTCCTGTCTAAGCTTTGGTCTGAGAGGTTCATATGAAATTCAGTTGGGGTGATAACATGATCCTATCAGCATTATAAACCTGTGTTATTTGGGGAAAAAAATTCCTAAAAGAATAAAGTCACAACAGCACCTGCCCACTTGCCCACAATCAAAGAATTCCCATATAAGGCCATGGCCTAATTTGCAAAAGATGCTAAACACAGATCAAGTTTTTAACGGTGCCTTAAATCCCGAGAGATTACACTGGGAGGCCACAGCGTTTCCACCATCTGGAAGTTCAGCTTCCAGCCTCTTCCAGGTCCTTCAGCTTCAGGGAGAGGAGGAGAAAACCCCACTAGACCCAAGTCTAAGGCAACGGAAGAGGCTCTCCTGTTACTGTTCCCCAGGGACAATCATCTTTGCAAAGGAATTATGTTGCAGCTGGAAGAAAAAAAGAAAAGGGACAGCATTAAGTTTGGTGACTCCATTCAGGAAGATCAGAAGGTGAGCCCTTCTGAGGTTTTTACCCCCATTTTTTCATTCTTTTAAAGCAAATGCCCAGGTAATGAAAGAACCAGAGACCAGGCAGGACTCCCTCCACCTCCATACCTGCAATTTCATTCCTGCCACAAGGATTTATCATGAGTTCTGTGGGCAAGCTGGGGATTCCCATCATTTCCCAACAACCCTCGCCCCATCCCCCCTGCTCCCCCGCTCCCCCCTCCTGCAGCTTTATGTCTAACAAACAAACTGACACTGCCGTGTGAATGAACAGAAACAGATACTTTACCCCAGCAGTCCTTTTCCCGCCCAGCGTGTTGGGACAAGTCGAAGCTGGTGTTTCTCCCCTCTGCGGGTCACTATCACATTCAGGGGCTTCTGAAAGGAAAACAAGCTCGTTTTATGTTCAACTTCCTTATCGCTCAAAGAGATTCATGCTCAAATGTTGACATACTGTTTTTCACCCATCAGACTGGTAAGGACGCTTATTTTAAGCATCATCCTTAAAATAAGTGTGGGGGATAGGGCACTTTTGGGGCCACCAGTGGGGCTGCAAATCAGTACCATCCTCTTGCAGAAACATGTCCCCCGCAAAAAAAAAATATATATTTTAATGGTGCATACAAGATATAATTTGCAAAAGTACAAGACGATATATGAACTAAGTGTTCATTCCAGGGCTGTTTATAAATTCAAATACTGAAAACACCCAAAATGTCTTTCAATAAGGTATTGTTCAAATACAGTATAGTGTATGAAGCAATTTTGGTAAAAACAAAACAAAAACAGCAAAGTATAAACTGATTACAATATATTTTCTAAAATGACAAATGTGTTGCTTGGTGCATACAAAGTTTTTGGGAAGATAAACAAGAAAACTGTTAACAGTGGTTACTTCTGAAAGAGAGAAGGGCTGGTAGTTTGGAGTAAGAGAAGATAGTATTTCTTTTCTTTTAACATTTACTTTTATATCTTTCTATACCATTAATTTTATTTTTACCATGTGTATTACTTTAATTTAAAAAATTAAACTAGGTAGAATATATACCAAAGAAAATTATGATTTAAAACTTTTTGTGGGCCAGCCGAGTGGTGTTGGTTAGGAGTTGACTTGGGA